AGCTGTGCCCTCAACATAAAACTCTTGTTCAGTCCCAATAGAACAGTGTTTCTCAACCTTGACCATTTTAAGGCATGTGGACTTCAACTCCCAGAATTCCACAGCCAGCAATGCTGGCTGTGGAATTCTGGGAGTTGAAGTCCACATGCCTTAAAATAGTCAAGGTTGAGAAACACTGCAATAGAAGATGATATATGTAGCTCAAGATTGAACTGTAAGTGCTTGGTGCTCTCTGTGCTCAGTGCATTGATGAAATTACCTAGTCTGGCCATGAAATGTCTGCCAACAGACAACCAAACTCAGAGAGCACCAAGGACTCTTGTTCAGTCCCCATCAATATTTGGAATTGAAAGTTTGATCATTCAGAAAATTGGAATATCCTCAAGTCCATCTCTATTTCAATGTTTGCAGATGTTTCCTTGATTTGTGTGGTTGTGGCTTTGACAATGTGGAAATATTGACATTTCAGAGAAGTTACTTTTTTTTATATCGGAATCTGACCTAGGGAAAGTTATTTGGAGGGCTCAGAAAAAAAGCAGATGAGAATAGAATGATCAACTTTTCAGACGTTAAAATTCAGATTTTAGTATGTTACAATCAGCAAGGGAATTATTCAAATTCTAATCCTGAAAGAGCAGCCAATAGCCCAGGTTCTTCAAATTCTTCCTATAATTTGCTGTATTTTACACATTTCATCTCTCACAGCTGTTCCCTCTTGACTACTCATTACTATCAGCCCTGATAGTTCTTAAACATTTCATCACTTGTCTGTTTCCCCCAATCCCTCTTCAGTTTGTCCATAACTGCTGTCATCTCTTGGAAAATTTATTGCTTCCTTAGCTGCTGCTTCTTTTTTATTTAAACTATAGCCTTGCTTTGAAGCAGATACAACTGTTGCTTCTTGCTTAAACCTCAGTGATGCAACATTTGCAAAATTCTTCATTAACTAGGTTGGATGGATGGAAGGAAATATACGTATATTTATCAATAAGCCTGCTATAGACACGCATATTCTGGCAGGATGACCTGAATGTAATTTATTTTTCTACTTGGTCACTGAGCAAGCAAATAAGGAGAGCAAATTAAGAATTGGCCAGAGGGAAACTCAAAAAAACACCAAGCAGTGTGGAGAACAAAAGCTTCTCAGCAATTTGCAAGGTAGATGTAATCTTTGTCCTCTCACTCAGCAAGAACCCCAGCTGGAACTGAAAGTTTGTGTCCTTATTGGAGAAGGCAAAAGGCTTAGGGAATGAGTGTCTATAGTGCAATATGCCAGAGAAGGTGAGAATTTTTTCAATAGGTGGCACTCCTTAGGAAGGGTAAGAGTGAGTGCCAAGAAACACAGAAAAGGAAACAAGTAAAGCACACGACCCAGAGAAGATCAGGAGGTATTCAGGCCCAGTTGAGCTCAGCAACTGATACATCAAGCTCTTGCTAGGAATAAACAGAAAGGAAGTTGTGTTGTGTGTAAAGGAAACATTCAAGTGCACTGAAATTCACAAAGCTGAGCATAGAATTCTGTTGAAAGTGTTTGGATAAGAATAAAAGGAAAGGGAAATGAAAGTGTCACATAAGTTTATTATATGGACAAGCAAAAGATATGGAAGAAGCCTTGAGTGTCCACGGAAAAAGACAGAACTTGGAAACGATGCTTCTCTTATGCTCCCTACTTTGACCCTTTAGACCAGGGGTATCAAACTGCCGGTCTGCGGGCCAGATTCATAATGGCAAAACCGCGTGCACCCCATTGCCGGCAATAGAAAAATAGTTGTGATACGTCGCAACACGTCACGTGATGTTGCGAGTTTGACACCCCTGCTTTAGACCAGCGGTTCTTAACCTTTTTGAACAAATCGCTCTCTTGAGCCAATGAGGAAGTTGTCATCGCCCCCCTCCCCCAACATAACCTCTCAATCACAACATAGGAAATAATTCTTCAATTTATGCAAACCCTTTTTTTGTTTTCTTTAAAATTGTCATCAGGACATATGATGCAAATAATTTATTTCCAGTCTTTTTCCCATATCGCAACTGTGTGAAAAAGTTTGGTGTCACCAATCACTTTATTCCCAAACTTAGTGATACATGTATTTCATTATTATCTTATTTATTCAAAACACTTAAATGTAATGACCACTGAAAACAAAACACTGGGAGCCGCAAAACCCTTTTGACATCTAAAATGAAGATAACACTGCATATATCCTTTTTTACCTTTATTATATACAGTATATATCTTCAGTGTTATCTTGATTTTAGATGTCAAAAGGGTCTCTCTCTCTCTCTCTCTCTCTCCCCCTCCCTCCCTCTCCCTCTCCCACTCTTTCCCTCTTTCTGCCCTTGGTCTGCCAGTCCTCTTCCTCCCATCAGAGTGTGTGTGTGTGTTTGTGTGTGTGTGTGTGAGAGAGAGAGAGTGAGAGAGAGAAAGAGAGAGGGAGAGGCACTTGCGCTTCCTCTCTCTCTTTCCTCTCTTTCTCTCTTTTTCTCTTTCTCTTTCCCTTCTCCCTCTCTCTTTCCTCTCCCTCCATCCCCCCTTCTTTCTCCAGGTGAGGAGAGAGAACGAAAGGCAAAGGGTACCGAAGGGGTGGGGAGGGGGGCAGGAGGCAGCAGAAGACCCCCTGTCGCAGCTGGAGGCACCCAGCTCCGCTGCCTGCCGGGCCTGCATGAAGGCCCCAGCTCATGGTCATGTTGGTAGGCTGTCCCACATGCCGCTGGCATCCCCGGGCTCAATTCAGGGCCACGGGGCATCTGCGGAATGCCCCGCCCGTCGGCTGCATCGCCAAGCCTCCCCTCGCACCGCCAGCGTCCCTGTGCTTAAGCCACAGGGCATCTACGGAACGCCTCCCCATCAGCTGCATCGCCAAACCTCCCATGCCGCCGGCGTCCTCAGTCGGAACCGGAGCAATGATCCATCTCCCGCCAGGACCAACGCTGGAGCCTCCCATGCTGCCGGTAGGTCCGTCGTGCTGGAGGAGGTGGGGCCACTCCGCACCGTGCGGTGCTCCCGGCAATTCGCGACCCACCAGCATCACCCAGGGAGTGATTCCCCCGCCAGCCACCGCCCCAGCCAGGACTGCCACCCGGGGGGCAGCAGAAGGAAGAAAGGGAGGAGGAGTAGGACAAGGAAGCCGGCACTGGGCCCCAGGAGGAGGCGCTCCCACAGGTCTGGCTGGGACTCTTCTGCTGCTGGTTGGAAAATGCCTCCCCCCTCCCTTTCTTTCCCCCCCATCTGCTCAGCTCACATTCTTCACCGACAAAGCAGGCGGGACTCCAGTGTGCCTTCCCAGCCAGCTGGGCCAACGGTCCCGCAGTTGGGGATCACAGGGGCTGCTCTCCCTCGGGGCCGCAGCTTGCAGGCTGGCCCACTCAGCTGAGGCTCTGGCAGGCTGCTCCCAGTGGGGATCCTGGGGCTTCCCCACACGGTTCCCCAGCCATGTGCACATTGGATGGGGCCAGCCAGGGAAAGGGACTTCCTGGCCGTGCTTCTCCCAGGGGCCAGGGCACCCGGGCGCAGGGCCAATCAGGAGCCCTGCGAGGGGGCAAATCTGCATGAGAGAGAGAGAGAGAGAGAGAGAGAGAGAGAGAGTGCCTCTTTCTGTCTCTGTCTCTCTCTGCAAATAGCGGAGGAGGCTCAGAGCTGCAGGGGAAGGCTCAAAAGTGTCCCCAAAACCTCTCGCTCCATCGCCCCCATATTGTCTCCTTTTTGTTCCTTCGCCCCCGTGTCGCTCCTTTTCATTCCATCGTCCCCCTGAAAAACAAAATCGCCCCGTGGGGGGCGATATCGCCCAGGTTAAGAACCACTGCTTTAGACTATGCTCCCCCAGCAAAGATCTGGGTAGATCCCCTTTTGATCCCCTTTCAGACAATGATGAAAACAGCCTTTTCAGACAAGCCTCTGGATGCCATTATCCAAACAAAGGATACCCCTTATTTCTTATCTGATTAAATTTTACTGATTTTTTTTTTTTTTTACAGCTTCCATAGTTTCCACGAATTGATTTGTAAACTGTCTGGAGATATATAATTGTGGCAGTATGTCCATATTCAAAGTAAATACAGAATATTCCATAATATATAACATTTATTTTTAGATTACCTAGGCAAACAAGAATAATTGGTGTTGCAAGATCTGGTCTTTTACTGGGAAAGCCCCACTAGGAGGGAAAAGTGCCACAATATGACAGGGTTAATTGACAAAGTTCCAAGCCCCTCAAACTTTTTTCCCCACCAACATACACAGTGCTATAATGGGAAAGCTCAGATGCATTACCCTGTAGCCCCAGCATCTCTGTCTGCATTAACAAAAGTCACTAAACCTGAATTAACAAAAGACAGTGGCTACACTGGCAAAACTGGCTAATCCCATGATTTAATGCAATGTCCCGGTTTATGCAACACTTAAGGTTCCCACAAGCCATTGCATGGCCAAAGTGAGCCAGGGAAGCATCCGTTGAAATGGTCCTCCTGCGCCATATTTACCTGTGTGCAAAAAAGCTGAGATCTCTGAGGCCACATTAAGGGCACGGACCTCCTCTCCAGCCTTCAGGAGGGTATGTGAGGCACGTGTTCAGCCTCACAATCAGATTGCGAATTCTTCCTCCCAACAGGCTCTCTCTGACTCAAGCCGACATCGGAGGCGCCGGTTGCTGTGGCAACCGGCGCTTGCCTCACAATGCTGCTGCCTTCCCCAGTTCTGGCTCTAGAAGCAACACAGCCGAGAAACCTGTTTTGAGAACCGCAGCTGGCCCACTCAGGTTTGCGCTGCATGGAGCTCCCTTTCATTTTAGTTTTCTGTCCTTTAAAGTGCATGAGAAAGGGAAGCAGGACTCAAATCCAAAACTAAGAGGAGAACCGCTTTTACGGGCTCCCCAAGGATCTCTCAGCTTTATCCCAAAGGAAATTGCACTCTTCTCACCAGAAATCCGTGTCACACGTTAAGACACCCAAGACAGCCATCCACAAATGGGTAGATCCACAAAAAGTACAAAAAGAAGCAATGGGGGGGGGGAAATTAAATAAGTTCCTTAGTAATTGGGGGCTTGTCTGGTGTCTTCCTTGACCACACTTGCTTGTTTCTCAGGCTCTCCTGAGATCTCATGGAAGGTGGACAGGATGGTCCCCCACACGTGGTCTGTTAAGTCTGGGATATCACTCGGGCTCAATCCCTTGGTCTTCACCGGAGGAAGAATCCGGATGGTGATGTCCCCTTGGAGGAGAGAAAACAAAGAAATCTATTGTGGCATGGCTCATAAGTATCCAAATGCATGTGATGTCATGTCTCATCCAGATGACCAGTTAAGCTTCCAGGGTCCCAGCTGGTTTGTGGAAGGCCTGACCGTCCCTAACTTGCACAGGGGGAAAATACAAGTTGACTTGCGTATTGAGCAACACAAAACAGGAACTACGGTATCTTATCTCTTGACTTTGTAGCTAATGCGTCTAAACTTAGTGCAGGTAGTCCTTGACTTACAACCGCAGTGCAGACTGCCATTATGGTTGTAAGTCATGACAGTCATGAAATGAGTCATCATGTGACCAGACCCAATTTTACGATCTTTTTTGCTGAGGCCATAAAGCAAATGCTATGGTTGTTAAGCGAACACCACAATCATTAAGGAAACACTACAGTCGTTAAGCGAACCCATTGTTTGCTATGGGGCGTTTTTATCAAAAACAGGAAGTCAACACCGATTTTCAGCCTGGACATCAGAACTCAGAACTGGGACATAAATACCTTTTGGAGGAGGTCTGTTGTAATTTTGAACCATCGCTAAACAGCCAGTCATAACTGAAGGACTAACTGTCCTTGGAGGTATCGTTTGCATAAACTATAGACCAGTGTTTCTCAACCTCTCAGCAATGCTGGCTGTGGAATTCTGGGAGTTGAAGTCCACATGCCTTAAAATTGTCAAGGTTGAGAAACACTGCTATAGACCTTCTCTGCCATTCAGAAGTTCTCATGTTAGATTCAGAGAGACCCTGGCTTTCAAGCAAAAGTGGGCAACCAGTTATACTGCATGTGCCCAGTCTATTTGAGTGCCCTTTAGAACACAATGATTATACTGCAGAAATGTAGCCACAGGTTTAATTGCAGCTCCTTTTTTTTTTTTTTTTTGCTTTTTAAAAGAAATCCTCCAATAAAGGTCCCAAAGATGCTTTTCAAAAGGCAGCTGGACTTCCTTGTTTTTTTTTCCCTTGAAAATATTTTGATTCTCATCTAGGAAGCTTCTTCAGTTCAATAAGAGCCGAGGTGGCACAGCAGTTAGGGTGCAGTACTGCAGGCCACTTTAGCTGACTGTGTTCAGCAGGTCAGCGGTTCAAATCTCACCGGCTCAAGGTTGACTCAGCCTTCCATCCTTCCGGGGTAGGTAAAATGAGGACCCAGATTGTTGGGGGCAATGTAAATATATATATACATTGCTTACTGGTGTACACCGCTTAGAGAGTGCTCGCACTTAAAGCGGTATATAAGTCTCATAAATAAATAAATAAATAAATAAATAAAATAAAATAAAATAAAATAAAATAAAATAAAATAAAATAAAAGGGGGAAAGAAAATCCCACCCTAACTGACTCTATCCTTTCCAGTAAGGTTAAATCAAGTGGAGTCCGCAGCCCAAAACTGTTATCTGCCTCTTGGAGACTACAGTGCTGTGTGATGAAGGGCTGACCTATTTTTATCCCGGTCACTTGCAGTTCAAGGCCTCCCCTTGAGAGCTGACATGCTGCTACCTCTTAGGGGGGAAAATAACCCAGACAATTATTGACTTAGCTATTCCCAGTGCCACAGAATACCAGATGTGAATTTGTTAGTCTTCATGTTCAAAAATGGTGTGTAGGAGGACATCACCACAGGAATGATTGGCGCCTACATGGAAAGAAAAACAATCACTGTTCAGAAGAGGGGCATCGTGACCTTTGCATTGTGAAAATAGGATCATAAAGTCAACCTCTCCACCATGGTGTTGGCAGAGTAACACATACAGACGGTGGCCGTGTTGGACATAAAATCAGGAGAAGCTTCAATCCTACCATTCACAGCCACCATCTTGACTTATTTGCCATATCCTGTAGACACCTTGGCAATTACTTTTATGTAAGGTTTTGGGGAAGGACTTACTGGAGAAGGGCCTAATGCTGGGAAAGATTGAGGGCAATAGAAGAATGGGACGACGGAGAATGAGATGGCTGGATGGAGTCACTGAAGCAGTAGGTGTGAACTTAAATGGACTCCAGAAGATGGTAGAGGACAGGAAGGCCTGGAGGAACGTTGTCCATGGGGTCGCGATGGGTCGGACACGACTTCGCAATTAACAACAACAACCTAAAGCAGGGGTAGGCAACCTTGGCTCTTTTATGACTCGTGGACTTCAACTCCCAGAATTCCTGAGCCAGCGTGGCTCAGCTTGGAAACCTCTCCCTTTCCCCTCAGCATGGCTGGCTCAGGAATTCTGGGAGTTGAAGTCCAGGAGTCATAAAAGAGCCAAGGTTGCCTACCCCTGACCTAAAAGAAAACTGAAGAGAAATGACCTATGTGGCCACATCCAAGTAGCAATATGTTATTGCTGCAACCTCTGATCAGTGTAGAACCAGGCTTGAGGAATGGGGAAGGCCTTGCTGAGGGGAAACTGTTCCAAGGACTGGTGCTGCCATTTTGGTTCTCAGTAGGGGGTGGTGCTCATCTCCGTTTCAAGGCCATTGAGCCAGCACTGTCGGAAGACATTTCTGTGGTCATGTGGCCAGCATGATGTCGCAGAGTGCTGTTACCTTCCCACTGAAATGGTACCTATTTGCATTTGAATGCTTTCGAACTGCTAGATTTGCAGGAGATGGGGGGGGAAAACGGGAGCTCATCCTGTGGCATGACATTCAGGTGTCAAACCTGGGCTGCCAACTTTCCAACCAATAAGCCACAGCACCGCCCCAGATAAAGTTGACCTGACCTTTTTAATAGCTATTTATTAAATTAAAAGAAAAGAATTCAGTGTAGCTTTGGGGTGACATTCTGGGAAAGGAAGATAAAACACCTCCTTCCAATCTGGAATTCATAGTGTTTACTAAGGAAATATTCTTTTAATGTGAAATACAAAGGTTTTTGTTTTTTATTTTGCTGCTTTGGGTGATAGCTTAGTTGCTAATAATAATTATTACTGTACACCAATGATGATTATGATTATGCATTGCTTAGCTTGATGGGTTCTGGTTTCTACCAATGAATGACTCACAGAGATAGCACTGCTCTCTTATCTCCATTCCTGACCGAGTTAAATGAAGAAATAAGAAGTGTGGAAATGTCAAGTTTTTACCTGGGTCTTCACTGCAAGATGGACGGCTTCTCTTTGCAAGGGCTCCAAGGTGGATTCACCAGTTCTGTGGCCTTCAGAAAATACCCATATTCGCAGCTAATTAGACAGAAAAGAACATATTTAATAATGAATACATTAGGCCTTTCTTCTTCAGCCGATTAATACAGTATTGGCAAAGGGGTGTCTTTGATTCCTGTAACACACTATTTCTCTCAATTCCACCAGTTCTAATAGCACTTTTCTAAAAATAAAAAACTGCATTCCTGCCATGTGGGTCATATTAAAACAGGCACAGGAAATTAATGCAGATAGTCCTCAACTTAAAAAGACCATTGGAACCAGAATTTCCATTGCTGAGCAAAGTGGTTGAGTTGCCACAGATTTTACAACTTTTTTCACGGTTGTTAAACCAGTCATTGCAGTTAAGTGAATTTGTGGAGCAGCTTGCTTCTCAGAATTGTCAGTGCTCCATTGCTGGAGCTTTTCAAAAAAAAGGTTGGACAGTCGCTTATCCAAGATGGTACCAGCCTCTTGCCTTGGGCAGAGAGTTATAATAATAATAATAAAGTTGGAAGGGATCTTGGAGGTCATCTAGTCCAACCCCCTGCTCAGGCTGGAAACCCTATACCTTTTCAGACAAATGGCTGTCCAGTCTCTTCTTAAAAACTTCCAGTGTTGGAGCATTTACTGCTTCTGGAGGCAGGTTAATTGTTCTAACTGTCAGGAAGTTTCTCCTTAGTTCTAGGTTGCTTCTCTCCTTGATTAGTTTCCATCTGTTGCTTCTTGTCCTGCCTTCAGGTTCTTTGGAGAATAACTTGACTCCCTCTTCTTTGTGGCAGCCCCTGAGATATTGGAACACTGCTATCATGTCCCCCCTCGTCCTTCTCTTCATTAAACTAGACATACCCAACTGTTCCTTATATGTTTTAGCCTCCATCCCCTGATCATCTTTGTTGCTCTTCTCTGTACTCTTTCTAGAGTCTCAATATCATTTTTAGTTAGAGTAGAAGACCTCCAAGGTCCCTTCCCGATTTATGATTCTATGAATACGGAAAGCCCAATGTAGCCATTGTACTGTTGTCCTCCCCTACTCACATGGTCCTGGAGCATGATGTCTCCAGTTGCTGATATTATCTCAACAGCTTCTGCTTCCTTCTTATGATCAATGAAAATGAAACCACAGAGCCACAAGACAACACCAACAGTAAACATGTACAGGCTCTCTTTCTTGACGAAAAGGGTACATCGCTTGGGCAAGATTTGAAAAATCCCTGGAGTTTTTCAGAACAAGAAGAGGATCAGAAAGAAGATCAAATCTAAGGTTAATTGAAGATTTTTTCCACCACCACCACCCCAGTTCCCCATTGTGTAAGGTAGGCAGGGCAGGATTAGCAGCAGCTGCAGTGAACAGACCTAGATGCACATCCCAGTTGAGTTCAACAATTTCAGAGGATTGATACAAAGGTACAAGAGCATTCTTGAGCAATTTTTACCATGCTATGCCCACAAGAAGTGCTGGGCTACAAAGCTTGAAAATGAAAATTGCTAGCCAAAGAAAGAAAGAAAATATTGTTTTTAAAAAATAAATTTTAATTTGTGGCCAACATATTTTGGACTGAAGTGTATTTGCTTCAGTTTGTATTAAGAGATACAGAGCCCCCTGAAGAAAAACTAACATTTTTTTTTTTTTTTTTTGCTATTCAATATGAGTGAGGATTGAGGGTTGTAAGGAATGGATGTGGAAGATAGCAGAGTGAGGAAGGCTTAACTTCAGGTTCGTCTAAGGCAGGGGTCTGCAAACTTGGCCCTTTTATGACTTGTGGACTTCAACTCCCAGAAGTCCACAAGTCATAAAAGGCCATGTTTGAAGACCCCTGCTCTAAGGAAAAGTGGAATTTCTTGCATGTGCTGTGGAAGGAAAGCTGTTAGGACAAAGAGAGCCTTGCTTCTCAGCATTATGTTGATTATTTTGTGCTTAGGAAGCCATACATGGATTAAGACTTGACTATCTAAAGCAATGTTTCTCAGTCACGGCAACTCTAAGACAGGGGTCTGCAACCTTGACAACTTTAAGACTTCAGCTCCCAGAATTCCTGAAGTCCACAAGTCTTAAAGGTTATCAAGATTGCAGACCCCTGCTCTAAGATGTGTGGATTTCAACTTCCAGAATTCTGAAAGTTGAAGTCCACACATCTTGAAGTTGCCACGGTTGAGGAACACTGATCTAAGGGATCAATTCTCCCACTAGGAAAGTATCTGGTGGTTAAGAACTGTTATCTTCCTTCTCTTGACAAAACAGAATAGGTCTTTCCACTTTGTTGTTTCCAGGTATGGAAAACAGATTCTTGGATGCTGCCTCAGTTTGTTCTTCAGCTGTTCATGGTTCTCGATCTGGAAAAGAGTTAGGGCAGGATAATCTTCTGCTGTTCTCTCCTGTCTTCAAGTGAAGCATGAAAAGCCCAGAGAACGCAAAAACAAAAAAAAGGGGCAGAAGGAAAGATAGGCAAAATATTCATCCCCAACATGAAATATTAACTCTTCTTTGGGAGATTAGATTAGATTAGATAAACTTTATTGTCATTTTGAATTCTGAATTCTGAACTGAGAATTCTGAAGCCATTTTATTTTCTACCAGGCATGACTATAAAGGGTGAGTAAAGGATATTTCAGGCAAATTCAATCATGTGCTGTTTCCAAGTGCTTCATATTGTCTGACTTTAAACACGGTACATAAATGACAATGTTTCAAATATTTCGTATACACGGAGAGTATTTATATATTGTCTAAGGGAAAATGCAACTAGACCCATCACTACTGTCTACATGCCTGCTATTGCTACTATTTTATTATTTTTTTCTCTGCTTTTAATTTATTTAAGCTGCATGCTCCATTTCTACTTTGGCTGGCTAGCATACAGTGTGCCTAAACAATGCAAGCCAAATAGGAAGAGTTAAAAATACAAAATAAAAAGGATCAATAAAATTAAATGATGAAATGGACACATTTTTTGTGGGTCCACCTTTTTGTGTGGGGGACTATTTTTCTTTGTGGGAGCACTTTCCCTCAAGTTAACCTTACATAGGTAGAGACAGAAATGAGTTATTCCTATTTCAAGACATATTTTCAGGGCCATTCCAACACAGGATAAACTTCCTAACAGTGAGGATAATTAGCCAATGGAACAGCTTGCCTTCAGACATTGTGGATGCTTCATTACTGGAGGTTTTTAGGAAGAAACTGGACAGTCACTTGTCTAAAATGGTATAGGACCGTGATGGCGAACCTATGGCATGGGTGCCAGGGGCGGCACACAGAGCCCTCTCTGTGGGCACACGCGCCATCGCCCCAATCCTAGGGCTTCAGCTGGGTTTTATAAAACCTTTTCACTTTAGGCCTCCGCCGCCATGTGCAAAAAAAAAAGGTTCAATCAATTTCAACTTCTCGCAGAAAAAAAAAGATCTCGCAAAGTTGGAATTGATTGATTGAACTTTTTAGTCCCACCCAGTCTGCCATTACCACTGCAGCCATGTCCACCCAATGGGCCACACCCACTCAATGGGCCACGCCCACCCGGCACCCGATGATACATAAGTGGGTTTGGGGTTGCAGTTTGGAATCTAAAAGGTTCGCCATCAACTGGTGTAGGATCCCTTGCTTGAGCAGGGGGGCTGGACTAGAAGACCTCCAAGATCCCTTCCAGCTCTATTCTGATTCAGTAGGCTCTAAAGGAGCAACAAACTCACCAAGCAGGTCCAAGGAGCACTGCAGATTAGAGATGAGGACATAGGGCCCTTTCAGATTTAAATTTGTAGCTCCCTGCACATTGATCTTAATGCCATAAAGGAGCTTTAAAGGTAGCATGGTGAAACGTAGAACTCTGAAATAAAAAATGAGAACAGATGTACTTTAGAAACATTAAGAGCAGTTTTGGAAAAGAAGCTGAGGAAGTTGCTAGAGCTGATTCCAATAACACTTGTTGACAATTGAACTCTTCCATAAAACATGTGCAATCTTCATCCATTGGCACAATTATATATGCTAAGGTGGGAGGATAAAAGGTGGTGGATATATCTAAATATGAATCGTCACATTCATATTTTGCCCTTTCTCAAGATCACCTTCCTAACAACCCTGTGAATGAAGCCGAGCTAAGGACAAGTAAGATCATCCAGATGACTTTTATACTGCACAACCAGAATGTCCCATTTGCCCAATTAGGTCATTATTGTCCAACACTATTTTGCTGTCTTTTTGTCTTACATTTTTATGCCTCAGAACAGCAACTTCAAGATGTGTGGACTTCAACGCTCTGAATTCTGGGAGTTGAAGTCCTCCCATCTTCAAGCGGCCATGGTTGAGAAACACTGCTATAGAAAATGTGATCAATTCCAGGTTGTCATTCCAACATATTTATTTCTTCCTGGTGGGCAGTTCTTTCGTGGTGCTCATGTCTAAGGAATTTATTACTCCGACGTTCAGTTGTACTTCTCCCTCTTCAGTGCTTATTTGATCCATGAGCTAGCATCCCAATTTTTTTGTTGTTGTTGTGCTTAGAGTAGAACATTAATGAAGTGCAATAGAATATGGTAAGCTGAGGGAGCAAACATCTAGCAAATTTTATCTTTCTCTCTCTGAGAAGTTTTGTGTTTTCTTCAGCTGCAGAACCTGTACGTGTTCAGAGATAATGGGGAAGTGCCTTGTGGATGGCCAACAAGGGCAATCATGGGTTCATCAGCTAAAGAGCACACATAGGTAATCCTTGGCTTCCAACTACAATTGAGCCCATCATTTTTTTTCCTAAGAGAGACATTTGTTAAGTAAGTTTTGCCCCGTTTCATGACCCTTCTTGCCACATTTGTTTAGTAAATCACTGCAGCTCTTAAGTTAGTAACACGGTTGTTAAGTGAATCTGGCTTCTCCATTGACTTTGCTTGTCAGAAGGTTGCAAAAGGTGATCACATGACCCCAGCCTTCATAAATATGAATCAGTTGCCACGCATCTGAGTTTTGATCATGTGACCATGGGGATGCTGCAATGGTCATAATGTGAGAAACAGTCATACGTCACTTTTTCAGTTGTAACTTCGAAAGGTCACTAAACAAACTATAATAATAATAATAATAATGATGATGATGATGTTGGAAGGGACATTGCAGGTCATCTAGTCCAACCCCCTGCTCAGGTAGGAAACCCTAAATCATTTTGGACAAATGGCTGTCCAGTCTCTTCTTAAAAACCTCCAGTGTTGGAGCATTCACCACTTCTGGAGGCAGATTGTTCCACTGGTTAATTGTTCTAACTGTCAGGAAGTTTCTCCTCAGTTCTAGGTTGCTTCTCTCCTTGATTAGTTTCCATCCATTGCTTCTTGTCCTGCCTTCAGGCACTTTGGAGGATAGCTTGACTCCCTCTTCTTTGTGGCAGCCCCTGAGATATTGGAACACTGCTATCATGTCCCCCCTCATCCTTCTCATTAAACTAGACCAGTGATGGTAAACCTTTTAGAGACCGAGTGCCCAAACTGCAACCCAAAACCCACTTCTGTATCGTTGGGTGCTGGGTGGGCGTGGCTCATTGGGTGGGTGTGGCCCATTGGGTGGGCGTGGCTATGGTGGTAAAGGCAGACTGGATAGGATTAAAAAGTTCAATCAATCAATTCCAACTTTGCAAGATCTTTTTTTCCCCGCGAAAAATTGAAATTGATTGATCGATTGAACCTTTTTTTTTTTTTTTGCAGGCAGAGGCCTAAAGCGAAAAGGTTTTATAAAACCCAGCTGAAAGCCTAGGACTGGGGCGACGGCGCCCATGCCCAAAAAGAGGGCTCTGAGTGCCGCCTGTGGCACGAGTGCCATAAGTTCACCACCACCGAGCTAGACATACCCAATTCCAGCAGTTGTTCCTTATATGTTTTAGCTTCCAGTCCCCTAATCATCTTGGTTGCTCTTCTCTGTACTCTTTCTAGAGTCTCAACATCTTTTTTACATTGTGGTGACCAAAACTGGATGCAGTATTCCAAGTGTGGTCTTACCAAGGCATTGTAAAGTGGTATTAATACTTCACGTGATCTTGATTCTGTCCCTCTGTTAATGCAGCCTAGCATTGTGTTGGCCTTTTTGGCAGCTGCAGCACACTGCTGGCTCATATCTAAGTGATTGTCTACTAGGACTCCAAGATCCCTCTTACAGTTACTACTATTGAGCAAGGTACCACCTACTATACCTGTACATTTGGTTTTTCTTGCCTAAATGTAGAACGTTACTTTTTTCACCATTGAATTTCATTTTGTTAGATAGTGCCCAGTGTTCAAGTCTGTCCAGATCCTTCTGTATCTTAAGCCTGTCTTCTGGAGTGTTGGCTATTCCTGCCAGCTTGGTGTCATCTGTAAATTTGATGAGTTCGCCATCTATTCCCTCGTCCAAATCGTTGATGAAGCTGTTGAAGAGCACTGGGCCTAGAACAGAGCCCTGGGGCACCCCACTACACACTTCCCTCCATGTAGATGCAACTCCATAGAGGACCACATGCTGAGTACAGCTGGTCAGCCAGCTATAAATCCATCTGGTGGTGATGCTGTCTAATCCACATTTTTCTGTCTTATCGAGTAGTAGATTGTGATCTACTTTATCAAATGCCTTACTGAAGTCCAAGTAAATTATATCCACAGCATTACTCTGGTCCACTAATTTTGTCACTTGGTCAAAGAATGCAATAAGGTTTGTCTGGCATGATCTGTTTTTGACAAACCCATGTTGGCTTTTAGTGATGACTTTGTTTGCCTCTAGGTGTTTGCTGATTCATTGTTTGATTATCTTTTCCAGAATCTTCCCAGGTATTGAGGTCAGGCTGATAGATCTGTAATTTCCCGGATCCATTTTTCCCCCTTTTTTGAAGATTATTATTATTAGTTATTAGTCAAGGACTACCTGTATTCCAGACACTCAGTACAGGAACAATATTTGAATAATAATATGAGTTTGCCTGGAAAATTTAGGAATTGACCCAGAATCCCCTTGAGTGGACACCAGATTAAAGTTGTCCTTGGACTCAGGCAAAGATCAGTTTAGCCCTCTTTGTTTTGTTTTGGAGTTCCAGTGGAGCTCAATCACTCAGGAAGAGCTAGGTGCAAACTAATATACATGAGTGCAATGCATTCTATGATCCATATACCATAATGGATAGTTATGAAGCTTGCCACATATAACAAGTACTATCTCCTCTCCTCTCCTCCTACACAATAATAGAGCTGGAAGCGACCTTGGGGGTCTTCTAGTCCAACGCCCTGCTCAAGCAGGAGACCCTATATCATTTCAGACAATTTCAGACAAGGTTTCTTGATTAACCTCACATATCAGCAAAGACTCTGGAATTATAAAAAGCAATCAGAGCAACGAAACATGGCTGTAAACATGGCATGCTCTGTAAGATATCATGAAGGTATAGAGCAGTGGTTCTCAACCTTCCTAATGCCGCGACCCTTTAATACAGTTCATGTTGTGGTGACCCCCAACCATAAAATTATTTTCATTGCTATTTCATAACTGTAATTTTGCTATTGTTATGAATCGTAATGTAAATATCTGATATGCAGGATGTATTTTCATTGTTACAAATGGAAAAAAGTGATAAAGTACAGGTAGTTCTTGACTTACAACAGTTTGCTTAGTGACTGTTCAAAGTTACAACGGCACTGAAAAAAGTGACTTATGACCATTTTTCACACTTATGACCGTTGCAGCATCCCCAGGGTCATCTGATTTACATTTTGATGCTTGGCAACTGATTCATATTTATGATGGTCACATTGTTCCAGGGTCATGTGATCGCCTTTTGCAACCTTCTGACAAGCAACGTTAATGGGGGAAACCAGATTCACTTAACAACCATGTTACTAATTTAATCTCTCTCTCCCTCTTTCTTTCTTTATCCCTCTGTCTCCCTCTTTCTTTCTCCCTCTCCTTCTCTCCCCCATTTCTCTCTCTCCCTCCCCATTTCTCTCTCCCTCTCTCTCTCCTCCTCTCTCCCTCCCTCTCCCTTTCTCTCTCTTCCCTCTCCCTCTTTCTCCCTTTTTCTCTCCCTCTCTCTATTTCTCTTTTCCCCTTTCTCTCCCTCTCCATTTCTCTCTCCCTCTCTTCCTCTCAAAGATCTATACTATACTATACTCTATAGCAGTGTTTCCCAAACTTGACAATTTTAAGGCATGTGGACTTCAACTCCCAGAATTCCACAGCCAGCATTGCTGGCTGTGGAATTCTAGGAGTTGAAGTCCTCATGCCTTAAAATTGTCAAGTTTGGGAAACACTGCTATAGAGTATCACCAGCATATCCACATATTCAGAGTTGTGGTAGTCTCAGAATGTTTATTTTTCATTTTGGATCGAGTAGTTAGATGAGCTCTGGCACCATTGGCTAAAATAATTTTTTTACATGCAATTGTTCTGCTAAATTATAGAAAGGTCCAGTGTTTCATCTGCTGTAATCTTTTCATGTTTTTCCTGGGGGAGGACACCTTTTGTAGCAAGAACAGATTATAAGGAGGTATTCCAACTATAAGGAGGTATTCCTGCAAGGGTAAACGGCAGATGGTGGGATTGAAGAAGCCAATGGGCAACATCTCATCTCTTCTTTACAAGACCCCTCCCCCCCTCTCTCTCTGCAGGTAGCTGCCAGGAAGGACATGGGTTGCTCTTTTTGGGAGACTGAACTATCAAGGGACTTCAGATTATAAACTGTGGGCCACCCTTTGCCCTAGAACAGTGTTTCCTATCCTTGCCAAATTGAAGGTGAGTGGACTTCCAACTCCCAGAATTCTCAGCAATCACTATGTTCGTTGTGGAATTCTGGGAACTGAGGTCCATATACATGTAGATTATCAAGGTTGGGAAACCCTGCCCTAGAACTTCAGAGTTGCTTTTTGTGATCCGGAAACATCCACAATCTTTTCAATGGTTTTTCTGCTTATCTATCAGTTTCAGATTGGTAGTCTTTGTACATGGTACTCAAGGAGATCTGCTTTCCTCCTTGTTTTCTTAATGTCACCTAATGGTGAAGTTATTGAATGAAAACTCTCATTTAGGGAAACTCAACTGGATGACCTCACACAATTTCAGTCACTCAACTGCAGCCTAACCTACTTAACAGGATAATGGAGATAAGATAAAATGGGACCTACAAGGACACCATTTTGAGTTTCTGGAGGAAAGGCGGGCTGCAAATCTAACAAGTAAAGCAAGTAAGCAAATAAATAACTCTCTACTCTTCTCACAAATGAAGGCAAATATACATGTCCCAAGATAATGTTGCAGGATCCAGTCAGGATCAGTCACTGGGACCAGAGATTTTTTTCTTCCAAGCTTTTGGGCTCCAGCACAAGTCCACAAGCTCAGAAGACAAAACCTCTTGTCCCGGTGACCGACCCAGACTGGATCTCTATGCTTCTCCCTAGAATTCTTTCATTTCTCCTAACTCTACTAGAGAAACTCTCCCTGTTGCTGGTTTAACATTTGATAGTCACTGAAAATACATATATGTATGTGTGTAATGCCATGGCGCTGTGTGACTTACCTCATATTTGCCACATTCCTTCCACAGAGAGCTAGGACCGGGAGCAGAAAAAAGGACCAAACAAGTATCCAGCCTTTTAAAAAGAAAATCCTGAAGTAGTATCTGAAGATATTGCTAAAATGATAAAGGAGCAGCACGGCTAAGAAGAAGAGGAAAACGTTGACCAGGAATAGTGACTGAGCCATGCTCTTTGCTAGGGCAGAACACTACAAATACCCCACATAGCTTACAATACTTCGATGGTGTGGCTGGGTGTGCAATTCAGCATACATTAAAAATAACCTGTTCAAACAAGTACATCACAGCAAGGGAGAAGCTTCATTGGTTTTAACAAACATGTGGGGCTAGGCGTGGGAGCCAGGAATGTGCAGAGGTGTATACTTGTAAGTTTATATTTTGGGATAGATGAAACATCTCAGTTAAAGTCAACTGATTAACGCTATTGATTTCAAAAAGATTACGCATGCTTAATAGAAAACACCCCAAGTTGTCAACAGATGAAAAGAAAAAATACTATTCAGGCCTGCTCTCAAACTATCTGTAATGTATTGAATATATATATAAAATTGTGTTAATCCCTGCTAAAGTGAAACTAACTTAACTCCAACTGCTTGTGAAGCTAAATTGAAACTAACCTTTAGATGACCCTGTTAACTCCAACTGTTTTGGAGGGAAACTTTGAACATTCATATTTGGGCAGGCTTTTTCAAGCATTGTGATTGGTTAAGGCCCTGTGGGCTCAGACTATAAATTACAGGCAATTGCCTGCAGTTCTCTAGTTCTAGTTTGAGTCAATAATGATGTTGTTACTATGTTGGTCTGCTCCTTGCCTACTGAAACCCACTGCAAATGAAGGTTTGGGAATGGGGGAAACAGAAGGAAGTATCACCGGCTAAGGTCTATGCAACACATTTATACAAATGTGTACATGAAACTATATATGTGACAGCAGTTGGTTTATTGTGAGTCACTGTATAGGTAAGCCAATCCTCCATATAACAATTACCGAGGGACAGGCAACCTGCTTTTCGTAATTCTGCTATCTGATGTGCAGAAGGCAAGGACAGGTTCAGAATGACAGTGACTTCACAGCTGTGAAATTCCTTGCCTTGTGAGGTACAAGTTATCTTTTCTACAGGTATGCTTAGCCCTGGATCTTTCCATTTAGATGCATACTTTCTCTGTGCGATCTGTCTTGGGCTCTTAATCTTCATATTCTACTTGAGGGTTTTTCAGAGGCATCTAGTTGACTATGATGTAAGTAGTTTTTGACTTATAACTAGTCACCTAGCAATGTTCAGTCACAACCTACCCGAAAAAGAAAACTTATAACCTGGATTCTTAGTTCTGACAGTTGGGGGTCCCCCTGGGATCACAACTGTGTTTTATGAAACTGTTTTACACAGCATCCTGCAGTCAAGTGACTTGTTTTACAACAGTTCTGCCAAAAAACAGGACTTCCAGGTTTTGGCAAAAGCGTACCCACAGTGAACAATGGGTTCGCATTTATGACCACGGTGTTTCTTCGCTTAGTAACTGCTGCAAACAAAGATGTCTTGGGTTGGTCATGTGACTAACCCAATTTACAACCATTATGACTATAGGGAAATTCCATTACAGTTGTAACTTGAGCGCTTCCTGTAGCTAGAGGCTGGACATAATGCAGAGGAGTAAGGAAATCAGAGCTTTCTAAAATCAAGCTTGACAAGTCCCACTTCCACTGAGAACAAACTTACTATGTATTTGCATCATGCTTCCCACCAGTTTTATTGAGAAAGTAGTGCAACCAACTTGCTTGAGGAATGTATTTGCATAAATTTGGCACCATGTGGTAGCCATATGTTTTCTTTCACATTCCACATCTTCTTTCTTCATTTACTCCAAAATCATCAAAAGGACATTATTGGCACCCTGTATGCCATTTGACCAAGGAATATAAGTTTCATATTAGTCCATGGCAGCCAAAAATCAGGAGGAGTCCAGTAGGAACTTTTCAGATGAAATAATTTAATGGAAAGGATAAAGGTTCTGGGGTTTTTTTTAGTCATCTCTCCGATTCTTCTGTGAGTTACTAAACATGGCAACTCTTAAAATTCTTTAGGAAGCTGATTTTAAAAAAGCGAAGTATTCGTGGATTTAAATATTAATGGGATTCTGTAGAAATTAACAGGAAGGAACAGGCAATCCATTTTATTTTCTTGATTTATGATCCTACCAAATTTCAAAGTGAGGAAGGGACGTCCTCTCCCTTTATTTATTAACATTGAGCTTAGTTCTTTTTGCTTCTTGGAAATCGGAAATTCCAAAAATCCTTCCTCTTTTGTTTTTTAAATCTTCACATTTTAAAAATGATGTAAAAATGCTTAATAATTATTATTTCAATAAATACAAAAAAAGATTTGTTTTTCAGTTGATACAAAAAGTCTTGAGTAGAATCATTTTAAATGGTGTACAGGTGGTTCTCAAGTTACAATCATTCATTTTGTGATCGTTTGAAGTTACAATGGCACTCAAAAAAGTGACTTACGACTGTTACTCTCACTTGCAACTGTTACAGCCTTTCCATGGTCAAAATACGGTTGCTTGGCAACCAGCATGTATTTACAATGGTTGCAGCATCCTGGGATCATGTGATTGTCATCTGTGACCTTCCCAACTGGCTTCCAACAAGCAAAGTCAGTGGGGGGAACCCATGTTTGCTTAATGGCCATGTGGTTCGCTTAACAACTATGGCAAAAATGGTTGTAACCTTGGGTATGTGACCCACTTAACAACCGCCTTAGCAACCAAAATTCTGGATTCAGTTATGATTGTAACCCAAGGACTACCTGTATGTTATGAGTTCTGTCTGTATACATACATACATACATACATATTAGCAAAATTAAAAGGAAAAGCGAACACCAGGATAGGAATATAAACAAGACTGTTTAATATAAACAAGTCTGTTAGTAAAAATCACTTAGCTTTCATTGTCAGTCAGAGTAGGGATAAAAGGAGATCTGGGAATTCGCTTATATAGCTGCTTGCTTCTGCGCTCTACTTCTTGAGCGCGTCATCGGTCCATTCATTTCAATCGGCCGTAATGCATTGAGTCGTTCTGCGCCTGTCAACCTGTCTGTGGATTCAAAAGTTATTCTCTTGCTTTCAATCGCTCCGCTGGCGCCCATATGGGCACCCAGGGGGTGGCTGTCTGATCCCTTCTGCTCCTCACCTCCCTCCCCCCCGCTTTGGATCGATCTTGGGCGTTAGCCCCCAGATTGCAACTCAGGCGCGCTGTCAGGTCGCCATCTTCCCTGGAGATTGCTGTCTCGCCTATAGTCCCATTGCCTCGATCCTGCAAGGGATGAGTGTCCAAATGTTTTTCCTCTTTACCTCCCTCCCCCTTCGTTCTGAGCTGTACTTGCGCGTCAGTTCCTAATTTACGATTAGGGCGCATCGCCGGTTTGCCATTTCCTCCCATGGGAATCACTGTCGCCTCATCCATAGCTCTGTTGTTGCCTCATCCATAGCTCCATTGTCCCAGTCCTGCAAGGAGCTATCCGATCACTACCGCTCCTTGTCTCCCTCCCCTCTCAGGGTGAAACAGTCTTGCGCATTAATCCCCAACTTGTAATCTGGGCACGCTGCCGATTCGCTGTCTTCCCTGGAGATTGCTGCTGCTTCACCTGTGGTTCCATTGCTCGGATCCTGCAAGGGACAAACTAGTTGTCTCCTTCGTAGGTCACAGCACTGTCTCTCCCACCCTCTGGTAGGCTGGTAGGAGGTCTATGTGCCAATTGATGGAATTCTCATTGGATAACCAGGCCTCATTGAGCAAGCGGCCACCCTTGGTGGTCTCATGGGATATGACCTCCGCGTTGGCAAGATCAAACGCATGGTCATGGCTGACCACGTGGGCTCATACTTGTGAGCACTGCTCTTGTCTTTTGATTGCCAACTCATGTTCATGGACCCGTCTTGAGCCTTTTAGTTGTTTCCCCAACGTAATTGCATGGGCAGTTCTTACAATTAATTCTATAAATAACAGGACCTTTCATCGTTGGGGAGCGGCCTTTTAGGATGCACGATCTTCGTTCACAGGTCTGATCCGGTCTATGGGCAATGTTCACATTGAAGGGGGCTAGCAACTGTGCCGTGGCCTCGGAGACACCGTTAATGTATGGAAGAGTTGTTCATGTGATCTGCATCATTGTTGTACTCGTGTGTGGGCTCCTGAAGTTGGTATGGCCTGCTATATCGCCTCACAAACTCAACAGGATAGCCATTGCATCTACAGATGTGATGAAGGCATTTCCTCTCCTCGATTCTGGCTCTACCTGTGTTGCAGTGAGAGTTACAGTAACCCGTTTAAACAACATCCTGACACAACTGATCTTGTGCGCCACAGGATGATTGCTCCTGTAGTGCAGTGTTCTTTCAGTGTGGGTCGGTTTGCGATAGACAGTCGTATGCAGAGTGCAGTTGGGATGTCGACTGACTAGTACATCCAAAAACGCAAGCTTGCCTTGGATCTCCTCTTCTGTTGTAAAATGGATGTCCAGATATACTGAGTTCAGGTCCTCCATGAAATTGGCACCGTCCTGTTTTTTGATGACCACAAATGTGTCATCCACATAACGCCCCAAAAATTTGGGGTGGTACTTAGATATGACCACAGCCTCTAGCTCAGTGATGGTGAACCTTTTAGAGATCAAGTGCCCAAAAACTGGCCCTGCCCCCACTCCAGCCCCTGCCCCACCCCTGCTGTCCCCCATCCTCCGCCCTGCCTGATCACAGGACTACTCGTCGCCTCCAGGGCCCACTGCAGATTGCCCAGGCAGCCCAGCAGCGCTATGGCGGACACACCCTCTGCCCGTGCCCTGCAGCATCAACTGCATGATGGGGCGTAAGGGCAGAGTCTACGCTGCCTGGCTGCCATGTCCTTGTCTGCACTGCTCTGTGTGGGCCACCCTCGAGGGCGACTTTCCTTCAGGGGGGCTGATGGAGAGGAGCGGGTTACGGGGGAAGGCAAAGCTGGGGCAACAGCACGTGTGCCCACAGAGAGGGCTCAGAGTGCCACCTCTGGCACCCGTGCCATAGGTTCACCACCACTGCTCTAGCTGATACAGAACCGCCTCCACAATTATGCCCAAGATGGGAGATCCTATCAGCATCCCTTTCATTTGTTCATATATGATGCCCTGAAAGGTGAAATATGTTTTTGGGCACAGAGTTAACAGTTGTATCAGGTGGTTAGTGTGGAGGGAGTCCAGATGCTGTTCTTGCTCCTCTTATAGGCGGTCCCTTATTACAGCGACCACCAGATCTTGTGGGATAGAAGTAAAGAGCGAGGTAATGTCAAATGACACCATTACCTCATCTTCCTCTATCCTTCTTAGGGGCTTTATTCTCTCCAAGAACTCCTCAGCCGATTTCACCGTGGTCTCATTATTCTCGACCAAATACCCGATGCGGCCACTTAGTCATCTGGCCAATCCCGAAGTCGGTGTGCCTCTAAAAGACATGATGGGTCGTAGGGGGGTCCCTTCCTTAGGTACTTTCGGGAGGCCATAAAATCTAGCCATGGCTGCATCACTAGGGTGTATTCTCAGTGTGTCATCACTGATTTTTCCCTGGTGTTTGAGGTTACTCAGTACTTTGTTGATGCGATTGAGCGTTGTCATCGGATCTTTGGTGATGATTCTGTAGGCTATGACGTTATTGAGCAGCGCTAGGGCTTTGTCCGTGTACACCAATCTGTCCATGACAGCGGTCGCCCTGCCCTTATCAGCTGGCAGGATGACAACGGTGTTGTCCTTTTTCAGTTGTTCCAAGGCCTCTTCCTCCTTTTTGGGAAGCACCTGACATCATTTGTGGCCCATCGATAGACCTGTGATGCGTTGCCTAATCGAATTCCTGACCTCGTCGCTGGCCTCAATGCACTGGATGGTAGGTTCTAGGGCCGCCACTAAGTCAATCGCTCCTCTGTCAACTTATGTCCTGTATCACGTTCTAATGTGATTTGTTCATGAGTCAAGGATTTGGAGGACAAATTGAGGACCAGTTTGTTGGTGTGTCCACGGTTGTCCGATGCCTGTAAAATGTCCATTTTACATTGGATTACTATTGATTTTTGTCGGCTCGCTCTTTTGGTAGCCTGGCGGACCTGTTAGTAGAGGGCCTGGTAATTCTGGCATGTTAGTGTAACATGGCAGGACTCACGGCATTCTTGAATTCCGGTCATCAGTGCTTCTATGCGCCTATGATGGTCATTAATTAAGGCGCGTATGGTGCGATGCTGGAACTGACGAGTGATCATCTGGCAGTGACTTAGGGGGTGAATCTCCCCAAATGCAATCCTGGACAAAGGCCAATTCAGACAGTCACCCCTTGCATGATCAAGGCGATGGGACTATAGGCAAGACGGCGGCGATCTCCAGGGAAGATGGCGACCTGACAGCGCGCCCGAGTTGCAATCTGGGGACTAACGCCCAAGATTGATCCAAAGTGAGGGGGGAGGGAGGTGAGGAGCAGAAGCGATCGGACAGCCACCCCCCGGGCGCATGCCAGGGGAGCGACTGAAAGCAAGAGAATAACTTTTGAATCCACAGACAGGTTGAGAAGCGCAGAATGACTCAATGCATTACGGCCGATTGAAATGAATGGACTGATGACGCGCTCAAGAAGTAGAGCGCAGAAGCAAGCAGCTATATAAGCGAACTCCCAGATTCCTTTTATCCCTGGATCCTTTTATCTGACGACGTTGGCACTCCGGCCGACGAAAGCTAAGTGATTTTTACTAACAGGTTTGTTTATATTAAATATATAAATTTTATATATATATAAAATACTTAAAGTGTTGGCTTCTTGAAATCCCTACTTCTGATTATGATGACAACTATGAACAAGAAAACATGGGAGCTTTTTCTATTGCAGAAGTGTTTGAAGACAAGGCACATGAGATTGTTTGCTAAATGTACACTAGAGGGCACTGGACCTCAGTCTCTAGCCTGGACAGCGGCCAGTCCCAAATTGTCCCATTTTTTTCAGTCTTGCTAAACCAGATGTTGCGTTCTCTCTCCCACAAGAGCATCTTCCTCTGGTTTCCCTTTTGTAAATGCACCATAATCTGCAGCACCAAAATGAAAATTGGGGGAGGGCAAAACAAAAAGGTCAGAATGAGAGGAAATCAAAGAAGCAAGACACTGCTACAGTATGAGATACACAGATGAGGATGTGTCTATCTTAGAAACTTAAAGCAGTTTTGTATCTGTTGAACTGGCAGCACTTCTCACAAAGGTTCCTGAGGCGTAGTCTAGTGCAGGGATCTTCAAACTTGGCCCTTTTATGACTTGTGGACTTCAACTCCCAGAATTCCTCAGCCAGGCATGCTGGCTGAGGAATTCCGGGAGTTGAAGTCCACAAGTCATAAAAGGGGCCAAGTTTGAAGACCCCTAGTCTAGTGAGAGCACTTAAAATTTGCTCAAGCTGAACTACACCAAGAGGCTTCCTTTACTGTAGCACTGCCCCTGCTCATAGGGACTGCTGGGAGTTGTAGTTTAGCACCCTCTGGAAGGAAATAGTTTTCCAAACTTTGATCTTCAGGATTCCCAAATCTTTGCAAAGAATTAAAGATTTGGCCTGAGTGGCACACACCACAGGATGGAATCTGGACAAGATAGGGACAAAGTGTCCATGCAGGTCCAAAAAGTCAGGATGGTGGCCACCACCATTCAACTGATACCCTGTTCATTTTTTAGCCTTGTTTCAATGCACAGAGAAATAGCAACAGCACTAGATTTATGTACCCCACCACAGTACTTTATAGCATTCACCGGGTGGCTTATAATGTCAGCATATTTGCCCCAACAATCTGGATCCTCATTTTACTGATCTCAGAAGGATGGAAGGCTGAGTCAATTTTGAGCTGGTCAGGATTGAACTCCTGGCAGTGAACAGAGTTTGCCTGCAATACTGCATTCTATCCACTGTGCCACCACAGCTCATAGAAAAGGATGGGGCTTCCATGCTGTGGTCATGTCTGCCCTCATAATTTTTTTGCCCCTCCTTGCAAACACCTTCTTCTGCGTAGAAAAAATTGAGTACATCAGAATGTAGTGAGATACTATCAAATTCAAATTCTTTCTCCCCCATCCCACAGACATGTGCACACAGCAGGGCAGAAGCTCATATATCCAAGAGAGAAAAAAACTCCTTACCCAGTTTTTCCAATTGCATGGAGTTTTGTCGGATAAAGCAGTCTCAAAAGTGCGATTCCTTGCCATGCATTCTGCAAAGGGACAGGATATTGTACCATATGGTGACTCCTTCTTTCTTGTCTTGCCAGATGCATAGACAAGGTTAGCTAGAAAGAGAGGAATGACCATTAAATATTCTAGGGTAGGGACAGTTCAGATGACTGGGCTGGTATCATCGGGCAAGCTGCTAACGTCCCCCTCCCAACCTGACAAGGCTTACCAGCATCCTTGCTACTGGAGCTGCCAACTTCCTTTCTTTTCTAGCCAAGCTGGTACCCAGGGGGTTCTAGTCCTGGTGGGAGGACGGAGAGTTTGACACTGTCTCACAACAATGCAGAAGGCAGCAAGAAGGAAAGGATTGAGCCCCTCTGTTATACAGCCCTGGAGCCATCTGCTTCACTGTGATGCACACTCCCCATTTCTGCCTGCTTCTCCTTTCCAGTTTCATCCTGGGTAGCCAGTGAAAATCATTTGGAGCAGGGAAACAGAGACCGGAGCTCAATCGACAGGGAGGGAGAAGGAAGAAGCAAAACCAGAAAGAATTTGGGAGAGCAGCTAGAAGGAAGTGAAGGAGGACACGGGGAGAAGAGGCTGGAAGAGGCAAAAATTAGTTGATTAGAGAAGCCTGGGCTGTGTCTGGAGCAGGGGGCACATAGGCCGGATGGGGAAAACCCTGGGATGGGAAGGGGAGGGTCCAAGGCAGCTCCAAAGCAGGAAAGGGAAGAGGGGAGGGCGAGGAAGGGAAGGCAGGTAAGGGAGGGAGAGGGCTGGAAGACGAAAAGGAGGTGGAGAAGAGGGAGGTGGGCAGAGGAATGGCTGGCTTGTGGGAGTTGGGGGCAAGCAGTGGGGAAGGGACTGGACCAGGTGAGTCCTTCTGGCCACCGTGGGTACGCCGGTGACGGTTCAAGTGAGAGCTGCGGCTGAAGCATTTGCCGCAGAGACTGCATTTGTAGGGCTTCTCCCCAGTGTGTGCGCGCTGGTGGATGGTCAGCTCCGAGCGCTGGACGAAGGCCTTGTCACACTCCCCACAGGCGTAGGGTTTCTCCCCCAGATGGGTGCGCTGGTGAGTCAGCAAGTTGGAACTGACACTAAAGCACTTGCCACAGGTGTCACAGCGATACGGCTTCTCCCCGGTGTGCATGCGCTGGTGGATGGTCAGATCCGACTTCTGGATGAAGCCCTTGCCACACTCCCCACACGAGAAAGGCTTCTCGCCGGTGTGGATGCGCTGGTGCTTCATCAACGCTGAGCGCTGGGCAAAGGCCTTCCCACAACCCTCACACTTGTAGGGCTTCTCCACCACAAGCCCCGGCGGCTGAGTGGGAACCTTGCTCAGGCTCTTCCCACAGTCCAAACAATGGCTGCTGCGAGTGAGACGTCCTTTGCCGTTGTACGGCTGGTATTTCAGGGTCTGCTTGGCCCCACTGCTGAGGAGGAACCCTTTAACAGGTTTGGGGCAGCAATGGGCAGCTGCAGCCGCTGCAAAGGCTTGATGGACTCTCTGGTGCCGGTCCAGATGGGAACTCACAGAAAAACCCTGGCCGCACTGAGAACAGGTATAGGGGCGTTCCCCGGTGTGCACCCGCTGGTGTCTCTCCAGGTCAGAACGCTGGATGAATCTCTTGCCACAGTCGGCACAAGGGAACGGGCGCTCCCCTGTGTGAATGCGCTGGTGCTGTACCAGGTTGGAGCTGCGGCTGAACCGCTTGCCACAGGCACTGCAGGGGTAAGGGCGCTCTCCCAAGTGGGTCTTACGGTGCTTAGAGAGAGAAGAGCGATGTCTGAAACATTTCCCACAGTCGGGACAGTAGTGGGTAGCAGGGACTAGAGAGGCGGCCGATGGCTGCTCCTGAGGGTTGTCCTGGTGGATGCGCCTGTGTCGGTCAAGGTGGGAGCTGACGGAGAAGCATTTCCCACACTCCTGGCAGGTGTATGGCCGTTCCCCTGTGTGCACCCGCTGATGACGCTCCAGATCCGATTTCTGGGTGAAAGCCTTGCCACAGGCTGTGCAGGGAAAGGGACGTTCCCCTGTGTGCACGCGCTGGTGCTGCACCAGGTTGGAGCTGCGGTTGAATCGCTTGCCACAAGCCATACATAGGTAGGGCTTCTCCCCAGTGTGGATCTTCTGATGCTTAGCCAGGATGGAGTGTTGCCGGAAGCAACGTCCACACTTGGTGCATTGGTGTGGTTTTTCTGGTGTGGGCATGCCGTGGCCTCGACCACTACCACTCGTGCTTTTCTTCCCATGCTCCCCACACACCCCAGACTTTTCCAGATGCCTGTGGCTGTCGGAATTCTTCCCTTCCTGCTGATGCACAGCAGAGTCTTGAGGAGGCTGTTGGTCCTCTGGGCTCCGCGGGCTCCAATTGCTGCTTGCACAAGCCTCATCTGGGCTGATAGGTCTCCTTGATGGTGGTGTCTCCTTTTCCACACAGTCTTGTTCTGGCTGCAGCTCTTCTTCATTCTCCCCAGCAGCTGAAATAGAAATAAGTAGATAAGAAGAAGCAGGACCAACTGAACTCCAATGATTAGTTTTCTCAAAGAGACATCCTTCAGGGCTTCAGGAGTGGCCCACCTATTAGTTGCAAACGAGGGCTGCAAAAAATCCAGATCACCACTAGCCACAAGCAAAGATAATTTTCTGGGTTTCCGTGCTACCATCTAGTGGCTTTTTTTCAGCACAGATTTGGCACCTTAGTCCAAGGGTGGTGCGATGACTTGACAGTTCAGGTGCTGGGCTTGTTGTTTAGAAAGCAGACAGCCCAGGTTTGAGACCCAAGCATTGCACGACAGGGTGAGCTCCCGTCATCACCCTAGCTCCTGTGAACCTAGACTTCAAAAGCATGCAAACACGAGTAGATAAATAGGTACCACTTTGGTGGGAAGGTAAGAGCGTTCTGTGGCCACATGACCACAGAAATGTCTTCAGTCAGCACTGGCTCAATGGCCTTCGAAATGGAAATGAGCATCACCCCCTACAGTCAGTTACAACCAGTGGATTGGAATCTGCAGGGACTCCTTTACCTACTCCAGTCCATATAGCCAACTACAAGGGATGAAAGGCATTCCAGTGAAACACAACAGAACATGGTCAGTCCCTTCTTCAAACCCTACTCATTGCTCCGGTTCCTTAGCTCATCTGTTCCATAGTTCCTCCAGAAATAACTGAAGCAGTGATGGTACATTAGGAGGCAGTTCTCAAATCTGACAATATTCTCCCTCAGAACGGAGAATATAGCATAGGCTTCCTCACTGGGGTTGTTCCAAAAGTCACAGCTCAAAGTCACAGCTTTACAGGAAAAAAAACAACATGTCTTTTACTCTCTCACACACACTTATACATACCAATTTCAGGATTTTTTTTTCAAAAATAGAAAGATGATTGCAACGTCACAATTTTTATTCCAAGAATCGCTGCCCTAATTCCCACTGTCACCATCCACATGACCATGGGCCCTGCTGTTCCCCTTGGTATAATTGTTTATTTAGCAATAATCCATCCTCCACAAAATTAAAAGTCCAGAATGGGGTAGTTCTATCAGTTCAGGCTTGGAACCCCCTGAATTGTCCAAGGAAAGGGCAAAGGGGAAGGCAATATGCGTTCTACATGTTTTAGCCTCCAGCCCCCTAATCATCTTTGCTGCTCTTTTCTGCACTCTTTCCAAAGTCTCAAGGCTTGTAAAGAGGGACTAGTACTTCACATGATCATGAGTCTATCCCAGCGGTGGGATTCAAATATGTGAACAACCGGTTCTCTGTGTGAATGCCGCTTCCGGAGGTCCACTCTGGGCCTGGACAACAAAAAATTAGCTATCGGTTCTGCTGAACTGGTGTGAACCGGCTGAATCCCACCACTGGTCTATCCCTTTGATAATGCAGCCAAGGATTGTGTTGGCTTTTTTGGCTGCTGCCACAAATTGCTGACTCTAAAAAGAGTACAGAGAAGTACAACAAAGATGATTAGGGGACTGGAGGCTAAAACATAAGGAATGGTTGCTGGAATTGAGTATGCCTAATTTAATGAAGAGAAGGACAAGGGGGGACATGATAGCAGTGTTCCAATATCTCAGGGGCTGCCACAAAGAAGAGGGAGTCAAGCTATTCTCCAAAGCGCCTGAAGGCAGGACAAGAAGCAACGGATGAAAACTAATCAAGGAGAGAAGCAACCTAGAACTAAGGAGAAACTTCCTGACAGTTAGAACAATTAATTAGTGGAACAATTTGCCTCCAGAAACTGAAGGCTCCAACACTGGAAGTTTTTAAGAAGAGACTGGGCAGCCATTTGTCTGAAATGGTATAGGGTTTCCTGCCTGAGCAGGAGGTTGGACTAGATGACCTCCAAGGTCCCTTCCATCATCATCAACAACAATAATAATGTATTGTCCATTAGAACTCCAAGATCCCTCACAGTTACGGCTCTTAAGCCACGTTTCACCTAATCTGTTCCTGCTTGACTCCCTTTATAGATGCTTCTCCTGTTATTTTGCACACACAGAGTCATTCCCCTTTATTCCCAGCATCCCCACAGTTCCCGCCAGGAGGCCAGCTCACCTTCATCTTTGAGGCTGTTAGGTGCCTTCTTCCTTGTTTTCCGCTTCTCTTCCTGGCTCTGCTCTTTCACCAGCTCCCGCAGCATCTTCTCCACTTGGCTCCGGCCAGCCGTCTGCAGGATGAAGCCCAGCTGGCGACGGAGGTCAGCATTGAGTCCACTTTCGCTTGTGGCGGCCGCCTGGTTCTGCGTCTGGGCCTGCGGTGCTTGGCTCCGTTCAGACTCCATGACTGCACCACAGAGACACAATGCAAACAGGGAGTTCCTGCGTAGCTTTGCCAACTGCTCCAGCTAGGGAAAAAGGGCTGAACTGCCCTAGTGCCTTAATGGCTGCTTCGTGTACAAATCAGCCAGAAAAGATTTTCAGAGCATGGTTATTATGAATGGACTTATGCTTTGGATAGAGTGCCTCTTTCATGTAGTGGTGAAGGCGACAGGCTAGAAACAGGGGACTGTGAGTTCTAATCCCACCTAAGGCACAAAGCTAAGTGGGCAACCTTGGGCTAGTCACTTTCCCTCAGCCGTAAGAAGGAGACAATGGCAAACCACTTCTGAAGAAGCTTGCCAAGAAAACTGCAGGGGCTTGTCCAGAGTCTGCAAGAATTGGACACGATTGAAGGGAAGAAAAACAAATGCTATGGGTATAAAGTTGTCTATAGAGACACAGCTACAAAGGTCAGCAAACCTTATTTCCAAAGGTCAGCCAAATACAAGAGCAACAGGATACCGAGGGAGCAGGATCCTTGCCAATCCAATTAGCACAGCCTCTTCCACCTGATGTTTTCCAAATGTGGCAGACAACAGTGCCAATAATTCCCAACCAGGGCATCCAAGGGTTGTGCAGGGTGAGAATTATGGAAGTCGTAAGTGGGTATGCTTGAAGGGCCTACAGCAGGGGTAGGCAACCTGGGCTCTTATGACTGGTGGACTTCAACTCCCAGAATTCCTGAGCCAGCATGGCTCAGCTTGGAAACATCTCCCTTTCCCCTCAGCATGGCTGGCTCAGGAATTCTGGGAGTTGAAGTCCACGAGTCATAAAAGAGCCAAGGTTGCCTACCCCTGGACTAGAGTTGGGAAAAATTGTTCTGACCTAATTGCTGTGTTGCAACCGCTAAATGTTGCAGTCATACAATTTGCGTTTGCACAATGCCTTTCCTCCCACTTTAGATACAATGTCCATGTGGCTGACAGATGTTTGTGAGGTGAAAGCTCTTCATGGCATTACAAAAAATATGACTGGGGAAAAAGTTCCTTTTCCAAGAATAAAATCCAGAAATGGCCTTAACCTAGGATAGTGATCTCAGGATAAAATACATCCCTTCCTTATTATTTTTTTTTATAAATAACTCAAAGCAGTGAACATACCTAATACTCATTCTTCCTCCTATTTTCCCCACAACAACCACTTTGTGAAATCAGTTGGGCTGAGAGAGAGTGAATGGCTGGCACAAAATCACTGGCTGACTTTCATGCCTAAAGTGGAACTAGAACTCACGGTCACCTGGTTTCTAGCTTAGTGCCTTAACCATTACTCTAAATTATAGAGCAGGGGTCTTCAAACTCGGCCCTTTTATGACTTGTGGACTTCAACTCCCAGAATTCCTGAGCCAGCCATGCTGAGGGGAAAGGGAGAGGTTTCCAAGCTGAGCCATGCTGGCTCAGGAATTCTGGGAGTTGAAGTCCACGAGTCATAAAAGAGCCCAGGTTGCCTACCCCTGTGCCAAGTTTGAAGATCCCTGTTATAAGGGATAGAGGGATTCAGGTTCCAGGGAACTTGAGCATTTATTCAGAGATAGGGAGAGTCTTGCTCCTCCCTGCAGACCTACCAGGCCCCAGTCCTCTTCTTCTGTGAGTTTCAGCAAAGGCAGTTATCCTAGGCCAACTGATTGCTATTTCCTCCGCTGCAGGTGGGAGAAATGGAGGTTGCAGGTCAGAAGATATCAAGGCACACCACACCAAGGAGGCAAACATGAGATATTCCCTTCATTTGATGCCTACAATAATAAATCTATGAGATTGGTTGGAAAGAAAGAGGAACTGGCTAAAGGATAGCCAGTGAGCCCCATGATCGAGTGGGAATTTTGAACCTGGCCTGAACCTGGTCCAGTGCCCTAATCCTATTCTGCATTGGCTCCACAATCATTAAGATACCCACTTCAGATTTAAGTGAGTTCAAAGATTTTACATGCAAGCAATCACGAGCTCAAGTCCTGGCGGTTCCTAGCTAAAAGAGTAAATAGCAGAAGATGGGAAGAACTTTATTCTAAGAAGCTCCAGGGTTATGGCAATGCAGACCAAATAATATTAAATCAGAGGTGGGTACCTTCAGCCTCAAGCAAGGGTGTCCACAGGCAGTATCACTTTTGTGTCACCTCATGGGACAGCCCAACAACATATCTGCTTACCTTTGGCAGCCCTCGGAGTCTCTTCCAACCAGGATTGTGGCCATAAACAGATAGGCATATCACAATTTAATAAAAACCAAGGAATCTCTCCCCACCAATAAACCAACTATACTGCATCGTTCAATCAACCCAAGCCCCCCTCCCCTTGCCGAAATGTTAAGCCTGGCTTATCTATTTCCTTTAGATAAGGAAAGAGGCTGGCCACTTCCAAAACTGAACTGTTGGGTGGAAACTGCAGCAATGGATTAAGGCCAGGAGCAGTGTCAGGAAAGATGGCATAGCAGCACCCTGATAGATGACAAGCTACTCACCCAGTGAGATCACATTCTCATAGTTTTCCTGCATGACGTTGGGGATCGGTGCTTCTGTGAATATGAAAAGACAAACCCCTGAAACGACAACATCCTGCATACTGAGCCAAGTGACAGGACAGAAAGAAGAAGCCTGTTGTGTTACACAGTGTCGTGTTATGATTGGGTTACACAGCCGAAGACTAGGAATTTCAAGATTTGGACTACAGGGGTCACAAGTGGCAGGATTTTGCTCCCAGACCACAGGGAGCTTGAGTACAAATGGACTTTCTCTTCCATAAGGAAATAAGAGCAAAAATGAAGCCCTGGGGCAGGTTATTAAAACATTGATAAATCTAGCCTTACTCTTGCAGATTGCAGTGGATAACCGAGTTCCTTATGCTGCATGAGGCCATATTTTGCTGAACCTTTGTTTACCAAATCAAACAGAGCAGGGGTGTCAAACTCGCAACGTCACATGATGTGTGGTATTGCAATTTTTTTGCCATGACCAGCAATGGGGTGGGCGTGGTTTTGCTAGGATGCATCAGGCCTGAGGGCCTGAAATAGAGGGATTATGTTTACAAGAAATCCTCAACATGATCACAGTTGAGGCCAGAATTTCCGTTGCTAAGCAAGTTGGGTGTTAACTGAGTCACAGCTGATTTTTTATGAGCTTTTTGCCACAGTTGTCAAGTGTGGTCATTAATAATCCACTTCCCCCCCCCTTTCACTTTGCTTGCCAAAAATGGGCTGGCAAGGTGACAAGTGATCATCACAAGGCTCAGGAAGCTGCAACCATTGCAAATTAATGCCAGTTGCCAAGTCCTTGAAATTTGGATCACATGACCGTGGTCATAAGTGTGAAAGCCCAAAGCTTTTTGGATTAAGATTTGGTGGAATATTCAAAAGATTTTTAAGAAAAAGATTACGTTTACTCCGCAATTATTTTTGTTGCGTATTACTGTAGATTTTGATGTTAAAGAAACTAATTTGATGTTGAACCTTATAACGGCTGCAAGATTATTGGTGGGGCAATATTGGAAGAAAAATCTGTTGCCTACTTTGGAAGAATGGATACTTAAAGTGTCTAATTTAGCAGATATGGCGAAGATCTCCACCTACCTGGAGGACCATTCACAAGAAAGATATATTATGGTTTGGAGAAGATGGATTGATTATATTTAGAAGAAATATGAAGTTGAAAAGTATTATCTTGCTTTTGAGTAGATTTTAGATAATTATTAATAGTTTTAATTATATTATTATTTTTGACTTAATATTTGTATTGAGGAGTTAAAGTGTCTTATGGTTTTGATTGATAGTTTAGTTGGTTTATGTTAGTTGGATTACATTTGTTTATTAGTTTGTTTTACCCTGTAATCAGCTCTGGGAAGTGGGGGAGGGGGGGATGGGGTGGGGGGTTTATATTGTAATAAATTTATAAAACTTTTAATAAAAAAAATAAGTGTGAAAACCCATCATAAGTCCCTTTTTTCAGTGGCATTGTAACTGGGAATGATCGCTAAATAAACAGTTGTTAAGTTGAGCACTACCTGTATATAGCACACTGAAATGCAACTGGACAAAATCCTTTATGACTGTGTTCACACACCTCCCAATTGTGGTTCATAAACTAACCCTGTTGCCTTGGTTTACACCAGTGGTTCTCAACCTTTCTAATGCCGCGACCCCATAATACAGTTCCCCATGTTGTGGTGACCCCCAACCACTTATACATCACCAGGTGCCAGGGGCGTGGCCAAAGAAAAGGGGGAAAAAATGGCGGACAGCCTTGTTTGGCGACCCCCGTGAAATGTCGTTCGACCCCAAATGGGGTCCCGACCCACAGGTTGAGAACCACTGGTTTACACAATATCCTGAACCATAAAGTACCCAGCCACACTTTGACTTTGTATGTGGACCCTACCCAGCTTATGGCTTGGCATGTCATGTTTATTCAGCTGTACATGCCATGTAATTGGTTGGCCTTTTTTCTTTCCTTAATTGATTTTAAGCTAGTGGCCTATTATTGCAGAGACAGGGATTAGTATAGCAGCTTTCTCCAAGAGGGCACCATCCAGCATTTCACTAGATTCTCCTCTGCCTGTGTGGATGGGAATTCAAATCAATGTGGTTGTTTTTTAGTTTGTTTTCATCTTTTATCATTTTAATCTGTTTTTATATTTATTGTTTTTTTATAGCTGTGTTTTATTATATTGTAAGCCACTGAGAATCAAACTGCAAGATGGACAGCATAATAAATTTAATTTTCTGGGTGTAGAGAATACCACCAACAAATGAGCTGGGTTGGCACAACCTACTAATCCATCCCCAAACTGATCATGGTTAAACTTAGCCAAGCTCAACATGTACCAATGCTGATGGTAAGTTTTTGGTTAACCAGGTTTAAGCTTGCTGTGCAAACCCCTGGCAAACTCAACTCTTCTGAAAGGGACCAACTAGGCTAGGATTGGCACAGTAACTGGAGGAAGAAAGGTAAGCTATAGCAATGCATTATGCTTCCTAGAAGTAAATGAACCTTTGCTATAGGTCCTAAGAAAGCTGTCCATATAGGAGAAACGCAGAAACTCCAGGGACTCCGTGAAGTGAAGCATTTTTTCACACAGTGTATAATCAACTTACAGAATTCACACCCACAAGAAGAGACCAAAGTAGAATGGAAGATGGGAAGTTATCGATGCCTCACTCTCAGGGTGGCGGTGTAGAGCTTCCATATCCAGCTACTTCTGAAATCAGTCACAAAGGACGTCCAGCAGGAAAAAAATGGGTTCCTTTGACCTGCCGCTCAGGCATTCCCAGAAGGGGCATGGCTGGCCGCCGGAGGAACCAAGGATGAGGAGATGAGTGGCCGGATCCTGCAAGGAGTTCTCCAGAATACTCTATTTTTCACTCCTGAATTCAACAAGACTCACTCTCGAGGAAGTCAGCCGGCTTCCAGCTTTGCCTCCGTCTCCTGGCTGCTCCTTTCGGGGCAATTCCTCTTCTCCCACCGGAGAGAACCTGGTTTTTCCTTCTAATTGTCCAAACTTCTTCTAAGCTCCGGAGTCTCCAGCTGTTCGTGAACACAGCCGTTGCCGCCGCCGCTCCGGCTCTGGGATTTATTTGCAGCCGTCTGTAAGCCCCGCTGCCCCGCTTGCGAGGGGTCGCCGACGGCTCCGAAGGAGGAGCAAGAGCTCCGACTCTTCTCTTTTGGGAGGTGGGATGCTCTGATCACTCGGGCTTCAGCCGCCACCTCCCGACCCAGGAAGCTCAACCCCGGATACATCCGGCGAAGAAAAGAGGTGAGCGGGAAGACCGCAGCCCCCAAACCCTGGAAATCGGCAAGCCGGAGCCCTCTGCTGGCTCCCTCGATATCCACGCGCCTCCGAAAAAAAATCTGGGTCACGCGCGTCTGGTTTGTCCTGTGTACGCTCCGGGCAGCAGCATCCTCATGCTCCCCCTCCCCACGTTGTTTAATGTTGTTGGAAGAAAGGTCTTCATCGTGGTTCATCCAAACTGGGAATAAACATGGCAACTGCTTTGGGAAGAAGGTTCTAGTTTATTGAAGAGGAGAGCCAGACAGGAAGATGGTTCTGGCAGCAAGAGAAGTGAAAAAAAAAAAAAGAGCTGAACACGTGTAGGGAGTAGGTTTTTATACCCTCTGTAGCCTTTTGTTTGGAGTTGTTCCTGTGGCATGAACTTTGACCTGAGTCTGAATGTGCCTTTCTGGTATTCTGATGGTAATGGGTCAATCTTATGTCCAAAGGTCATATCCTGTTTCCCTGGGACTGATGACTCTTAGAGTTTGGATGGGATATGTAGATTTTAGGTCTTTGTCTTCTTAATCTCCTAGCTCCCTGGATTTACATCTGCATCTCTATAGAGCTGGTTTCTGGTTGGGGAAGGGAGACCTGGGGCTATTAAGAAAACTGGGCATGCTTTCCTGCCTCTTTAGATCCTTGGAGGAAATAAATTTTTCTGCCCTTTTAATAATTCCTTCTCTGGGGGGCTGACTTCCCACAATGTCTATGTGGAAATGCACATTTTTAACCCTGATAGGAAGAGGAATGGTGGAAACAGATATAGTGAAGATGTCCTAAAACTCCAACAATAAAATATCTTCAAAAAAAAATGGAAAAATGTGGCATTAGAAGATGAAGTGGAGTTTCAGTTGTTTCAGAAGGCAGATCCAGAGAGAGAGGGTAAGATCTGGGCCAAAATATCAGGAGAAACACCTCTCAGTGTTATTGTAATGGCATTAAGTCCTGTACTACTGGTATAGAGCAGAGGGCTGAGTAAGAGGCCTTGAATGCAATAATCCTTTAATGGTATCTATAAAGATAATCTTGGAGTTACATGCTGGATCAGAATCAGCCGGGTTACATGGATTCAAGAAAACACAATTGTAGGCACATCTGGGGGAATTTAATATTAGTTGTTGTTTTGTGTTAGCAAGGCCCCAGTTCAAGTCTGATGCTGTGATAGTATGTGGGAATGACCTTGGAAGACAAGAAGAAGACCCAAGTCAGGACAAAAGTCTGGTAAGAGGCAGCTCAATCCTCAGATGGGATACAAGAAGAGACTAGACAGTCACTTGTCTGAAATAGTATAGGTTCTCCTCCTTGAGCAGGGGGCTGGACTAGAAGACCTCCAAGGTCCCTTCCAGTTCTATTCTATCCTATCCTATTCCTATTCCATCCCCCTGCTCATGCAGGAAGCCCTATACCAGGGATGTCAAACTTGCAACGTCACATGATGTGTCGTGACGTATCGTGACTTTTTTGCCATTGCCAGCAATGGGGTGGGTGTGGTTTCGCTATGATGTATCTGATCCGTGGGCCGGCAGTTTGACACCCCTGCCCTATACCATTTCAGACAAATGGCTGTCCAAACTTAAAAACTTCTAGTGTTAGAGCATTCACAACTTCTACAGGCAAGTTGTTCCACTGATTAATTGTTCTGTCAGCCTAGTTCTAGGTTGCTTCTCTCCTTGACTAGTTTCCA